AGAATGAGCGAGATGTCCCATCGGCTTGGGCCATGCTGGCAGGGGTGGCAGTGGGCCAACCGGCGGTACACTTGGTGGTGCCAGCGCAGGATGTGTCGGAGGTCCATTCCATTGTCCCCATCACTTCCTGAAGACGATGAGGTAGATATCGTGGGATTTGGCCCCGAGACCATGGTTGTGGTCGGACTCCACGTCTGCGCGCCTCGGTGCTGACGCAGCCTTGCTGTGCGTGAGCGCGACGCACATCTTCTGCGTCGATCACAGCACCAAAACATGGTGGGCAAGCTAATACGCAGGGAATCCCTTCAACAACCCTCCAAAGCTTAGGGTGCAGAGTAATGATCCCAGTGCATGTGCTGCAGACTGTCAGAATGGAACGAACATGATCAGGACAGACCACTTGAGCCCACCTCTTTGAATGAAACAGAGCTTTCCGAGCTTGGTGCATTGCACTCTCATCCACATGACGGTACTTTTGATCAAATCCGCTGGAACGGAACATGAAGCCCATTCCCGCCTTGTATGTGCCCATCTCCGATGCTGGCCAACTATTTTGATCAATGCGCTTCAGTGACAAGGGGTATATGCTGAGCCAAGCTGCCACAGGTGTGACTGCTTGATGCGCATGCTGCAAGCGCCACGTGAGGGAGCTGAGCATCACACAATGTGTCACTGATCCACATGAGCAAGCCCCAGTCAAGTAGTGTGCACCTAGGGAACAACCCCCTATGTTGCAGTCATCAAGCGGCATTTTGCAATACGTCAGCGGACAGGTGTGACGCATATGGGCCTGAAAACGTAGCCTAAGGTGCTTATTTACAGCTTTACAGTGTGCCGGCATCATTCTGGATCCTGAAGTGCAAGCAATCTGTCTGGCGCAATGAACAGCATAGCAGATGTTCGGATACTCCCATCTCTGGTACTCAGCGCAGCATGACCTGGGCGTGGCAAGAGCAGTATCTTGTTTGTTGGATTCCGTATAGGGAGGGAAAGCGAGGCCAAGGCCAACCCTCACGGACTGTTCCAGCAGCGCAGTGCCTGACACACATGCGTGAACGCACAAATGTCCCTCCAAGTCCCTGGAACGTGCCTTCTGCGTTCCCCAGTGGATAGGCCCGTCCACGGAGCTACGATGAGATGCGATCGTCTGTGAAGCATCGCCTGGGAACAAGTTTGACCAGCCAGTGCAGTTGTTTGCTTCTAGGGACTGGCGGATTAGGGTAACCAAAAAGGGGAAGGGAGGGGGAGGCAGGACAAAAGGGACTAGCACCAGTCCTCTTAAACCCGAGGCCAGAGCCTGCGTGCCAGCCAGTAGGTTCAGTTCTCCAGCTGTGCATGAAGTCTTCTCCTTCGCCTAGGAGGCTCATCTGGACTTGGTGTCTGCTCTTGACATGGGTCAGAGTCATCCGTTGCTGAAGGGAAAAGCGGTGATTCAATTGCTCGGAGTCGTCTGGGCATGGAACGTCTGCAGGAAGTAAGTGGCACATTCTGACTCAGTAAAAGCCAACAGCCACCGAAGCCCCTGCCGTCCAGTATTTCCATATGTCGCCTCCAATGAGCCAACAACATGCCCTGCCAGTGTTGCTCCCATATTCCAGTTGACCAGCAAGTGATGTCGCAGTGAGTCGCTGACCATGGCGCAATAACTCGTAGCGTCGCTGCCAGTCGCATACTGTTGCCACCAGTGCCGCATCGATGGTAACATCGGCTGCCTGTAGATGGCAAGGGCAACTCGGTATGCACGCTGTGTGGTCCTGCGCCAGTGAGTTTGCAGCCTCTCCAGAGTGTCGTCCACCTAGTCTCGATGTGACATGTAGTTGCAACGGACCTCACAGCCCCTGCGCCGTCCCGCAATGCTTCGTCTGTTGGGATGCTGATCAAAAAAAATTATTTAGGATCAAGAAAAAATTTATTTAGGATCAAAAAATAATTTATTTAGGATCAAGAAATAATTTATTCTGTTCTTCCGACTGAGAGAGGATAGGGGAGGGACGGAGGGAGAAAAGGAGGGAGGGAGGGAGGGAAGGAAGGGCGGAAGGACGGAAGGAAGGAAGGCAGGAAGCAAGCAAGCAGGGAAGCAAGGAAGCAAAGGAAGGAAGGAAGGAAGGAAGGAAGGAAGGAAGGAAGGAAGGAAGGAAGGAAGGAAGGAAGGAAGGAAGGAAGGAATCAAGAAAGAAAAATAGCAAAAGAAAGAAAGCAAGGACGAAGTCGTGCCAGCTTGCTGCAAAGCATATGCATCCTTTTGAAACACCTTCTGCGAGCATTGTGTTTGCAAATGGGGGGCGGGGCCCTCCCCCAACAACGGGCCCGAGAATTTTTTGCCTAACGTTTGCCCTGCCTTGTTTTCCTTGGTAACGTTGGCCCAGGTCCGCTGGCCCTCTGGTCCCTTAATCTTCTGGTCCTCTGGCCTTCTGGTTGCTTGGTGCTGTGGTCCTACGGTCCTCTGGTCACGTGGTCCTCTGGTCCTCCAGTCATTTGGTCCTGTGGTCCCGTGGTTTCCCGGTCCCGTGGTCAGATTTTGTTTTTCTTTATGTGTTTTTGGTCATAATGGTATATTTAGTTAAGTAGGAAAACATAACATAACATCATATGTTATAATATGTATATATATATACACATATATATATATATAAGTATGTGTATATATTAACACAAAGAATAACAAAATAATGTCATGGAACAGAGTATCATAGAACACAATATCGTATAGTATACCTTTGTATCACAACAATATAATAAAATCGCAATAACAAAGCATATATGTATATATTTATGCTATTTGCTATAAAATTCATAATGCACAATACATATTTAATATTTATTGTTTGTCTGGCGCCGGGCAAGCTTCTTCAACGCGTATGAATACGTTCCAAACACATGATGCGAGCATTGTGTTTGCAAATGGGGCGGGGTCCGCGTCCCCCCCCCCCTCCTCAAACCCCCGGCTGTTTGTTAAAGCCGGGCAAGCTTGCTTCAGCATGTGAATATCCTTTCCAAACCAATGATGCGAGCGTTGTGTTTGCAAACTTGCTTCAAAGCGCATGAATCCTTCCAATCCCAGGATGCGAGCACTTTTTTTGCAAAAAAAACATGAAGACACCATAAGATACAATAATATACAAGAATATATTACAAAAAGAGACAATAATATACAATAATACACAAAAATACAACAATATACAAGTATAGACAAAGAATATGCAGCAACATACACGTAAAACAAGAATAACTTACGATAATTTTCAGTAATTGACAATCATGGACAACAATATACAATAATATACAAAAAAATACAACAATATACAACAATATATACAATAGTTCTCAAAAATATGCAGAAAATATACAGCAATATAGAAAACACAAAAATACAGTGGCATACAATGACATACAATAATATAGAATAATATACAAAAATATACCATAAAATACAATAGTAGACAATAATATACAATAATATGCAAGAATGTACAATAATATACAAGAATATAGAATAATCTGCAATACTATACAAAGAAAATTCAATAATATACAATCATATAACGTAATCTACAAAAATGAGAAGAATATACAAGAATTTTTAAAAATATGCAATAACATTCAATAATATGCAACAATGTGCAATAGTATACAAAAAGTACAAGAAAATACAAGACAATACAATAATACTCAACGATATATACACCAATATACAATAATATGCAAGAATATACAATGTCATATAATAGTATTATTATACAAGAATATACTATACTATGCCATAATATGCATGCTTCAGAGTATACGCATTTTTTTGAAACTTCTAATGCCAAGATGCCAGCATTGATTTGCAGCCTCTGCAAACTCAGAAATGCTGCTACTTACAGTATTTCCAGACTTTGAAATCGCAGAAATGCTGCTGCTATTTTCAGTATTTGCAGCCTCTGGAAACTGAGAAATGCTGCAGTGTACAGTATTTCCAGCCTCTGAAAGCGCAGAACTGCTGTATACAATATCTGCAGCCTCTCTGGAAACTCAGAAATGCTACTATTTTCAGTAGTTCCCGCATAAATGCTGTATTTTTCGGTATTTAAAGCTTGCGAACGGCCAGAACTGCTGCATTTCTGAGCGTTTACAGCCTCCGCTCCGCTTGCAAGAAGCCTTCGAAGCCTTCAGTAAATTTTTTTGATCCCAAATAATTTTTTTTGATCCGCCTAGAAGTAAATTATTTTTTGATCCCAAATAATTTTTTTTTTGATCCCCTACCCCGTCTGTTGAGCTCCAATCCGTCCCACATTTCTCGCAAGCATGCGAATAGCAGACAGCGACTGAACTGAATCCACGCGGTAGAGACCACGAACAGATTGTCAACCATAGGCAGATCAGAGAGCTCATCGTGGTCCATGGATACGCCAGCAGAATCAGTAGGCGGCAGCAATGGCAGAGACAGCTCTAAGTGGAAAGAGGGGCACCCCGAACGAACGAGCCCACACCAACCCCAAACCCCAACCAAACCCAGAACACACAACAAAACTCGAGCCGAAACACTTCATGAGGCAGTATTGAGACCTATGCCGCAATATTGAGACTCTAGGCGGCTGCACGTTGTTGGGCTCAGGCTTGTTGCGCAAGAACACGATGCAACACAGAATCATGTGAATGATATGCCACATGTAAGCATGTTGCCTGGTCCTGCTTCAGCCTTTGAGAAGCTACGGCGTGGCTTGTTTGTCACACTTGCCATTTCCATCTCTCGGCTGTCACGCTTTCCGTTTTCCTCAGCTGCTTTAGGTTGCTGGCAGCGACTGAGTATGGTCGCCCAAACTTGGGAAATCAGACTCACACGCCACAGATTTGTTTTAATATTTTGGGGGCTTTAGGGGCATGAGGGCTTCATGGTGAAAGGGTTGCATGAAGAGTTTGCCACACTAACAGCACGCGTCTGCTCCTTGCCTTCCCGGCTTCGCGTACTCAAAGTCCAGCATCCGGAAAGTACCGTTCTCCTCCAAAAACTGGCCCAGGTACCTGATGCTCACTTCCAGCCTTGCTGCTGGATATGTCCTGGCTGAAATCTCCGGCCAGTTCGGCTCACCAGATGACCCTGAGAGCTTCATGTGGGTTATGGCAGTATTGACAACGGTTGCCTTGGTCCTTTGGGCCATTTGGGCTGGTTCCTCGAGACACCAGGCCCTAACTGCCAAGGCTCCTGATGTTTGATTGCGCAAGAAAAAGGTTGCAAATGGGAGGGGGGCGGAGCCATGGGGAGCCCAGAGCAATCCTTCGGTTGGTGTGCTCCTCCGCAGGACCCTGGCTGATGATCTCCTCCTAGATGTTTCCAGGCAAAATGTGCACACTAGGATCGGCAGCACAGGGGCAGCCAAGAAGGAGAGAGATGAAGAGAGTTATTCCTTCGAACCGAGTTCTGGAGCTTTCAACTTACAACCGGGCATGCATATCTCATGCATGTGCATTTGTCGCGTGGGTCCTCATACCTACAGGTTGTGCGTGGGACTGAGGGAAGACCTGAACCCTAAGCCCTAGACCGTAAGCCCTCTTATCCCTAGACCCTGAACCCCTAAGCCCTCAACTCTTCTAAGCCCTAAACCCTCAACCGCAGCGCTTGTGCCATTTTTGCGCTTGGGCACACTGTTACTCAGCATGCGCCGGAAAAGAAAAGTTGTACGGCGCGTGAACTTTATATTGAGTTGTAGCTATCTTTTTGGCCTTTGGAGGGTTCCCTTCGTAGGCTTGTAGAGAAGGAACTTCACGCGCGTACTCACTCACACGAAACTAAGAATATGAGCACGTGAAGGGAGCAAAAGACATGAACATCACGAATCATGTGCCCAGAAAGCTGCTATTCATTGAGGGCAAGATGTCGAAGGTATGTTGCTAAATTGACTCGTATTGGGCTCCCCTGACAGTCACCAGCTTTCCGGCAGCGGCAGGCCACATTGAAGCGCCGGCGAACATCCGAAGCCGGTCGAAGACGGGAGCCTGAGTAGCTACCCAGATGGTCCCCACTTTATACCATGAGACTTTCCCAGCAAAATTATCCATTCAGATTAGTTATAGGGCTCCTGGTTTAGCGCAGTTCAGCCCGAAACTCTATACCCTTCAGGACTTAGAACTGTCGGGGCGGGGCGTATTGCAAGCTCAGTTTCAGGCTGTCGGAGATGCGCTCAAAGCCTCATCTCATGCGCTGCACAACGCAGATCCCCTCCTTGGTAGGCCAGTGGTATTAAACGCCACTTAAGTGGGGAATATACCTTAAACTGTATAAAAGGGATCCGTAGTATGATTTAAGGTATATTCCTTATTTGAGGGGTTTTAAGGGCTGTTTGGGACCATGAACGCCAGGCGCCGCTGCAGCGCGCTCGATCGGCCAAGGCCGAGAAAAGGGCCGCCAAGGACGTAGGGCACGGGGCCGAAAGAGCTGCTTTTCTACGGTTCCAGGTTTAAGGCTTAGGGTTTAGAGTTGCGTTTATACGGTTCAGGGTTGAAGGTTTAGGGTGGTTTTTCTATACGGTTCAAGGTTTGAGGTTTAGGGTTGAGGGTTGCTTTTCTACGGTTCAAGGTTTATAGGGTTTAGGGCATGTAGGGTTTAGGGGCGCACTCCACGACCGTTGCTCCAACGATGTCTGTTCCTGAGCAAAATAGTAGAACTTTATTCCTCCACCTTAAACCCTAAACCCTAAACCCTAAACCCGAAACCCTAAACCCTAAACCCATAACCCTGAACCCTAAACCCTAAGCTTTATTCCTCCATCGTGCAGGCGGCGCGGGCGAGCCACGCGAACGGCCTCTTCATCGACACTCTGCCGCGCTGATCCCTTTGGGGCATCCTAAACCCTAAGCCCTAAATCCTAAGCCCTGGTATGAGGAACTTAACCGTTTCAAGCATGAGCACTGGTCTGGTGTAGAAAGGACTTTGCTTGAGGATAGGTGTCTCTGGAGGCAAACTCATGGCTTGTCTGTCTGCGACATTCTAGCTTCCCGCTTCTGAGGAAAGCCAAATCCGCCTCCGGTGAGTTTGCTGATGACGCTCTGGCACCCGGCTGAGTTGAACACCAGAGCGCCAGGAAGTTGCACCGCCATTTCAGGTTGGCCACAGGCGATGAAGGCTCCGCAGGAGAGGCGAAAGCAACCTTCGAGTTCACAGATCCCTCTGGCAAGCCGAGCGCCCAGAGTCGCTGCCAAGGTGCTTGCCTACTCTTTCGGCTGCCTTGTCTCCTTTCCGCCGAGAGAGAGGAGCGAGAGCGAGATCTCATTCCGACCCGTCAAACGGGCGTGCCTTTGGGGGGGGCAAGGGGGGGGGGGGAGACGGGGGAGGGAGGGAGGAGGGAAAGGGCGAATTACAGGTTGTCCACTTGCACAGCACAGCACATCTCCCCATAAAGACTGATTGAAAGAAAGAAGTAAAGTAAATAAAAAGGAAAGACCGAAACTAGTGCAGAAAGGGACGCCAAACAACAGGCCAGATACAGCAGTATACAACTGTATAGTTATAAGTGTAGCGATAAGCGTAAATGCAGTACATACACATAATATATCATATATATTTATATACACACACACACATTTACACATATTCATACATATGTGTATGTATTATGATGAAGATGAGCAAAACGAGAGGGCTTTGATTACCCCAGTTTTCTGACAGGCATGTGCGGCAGTATTGTTTATCGCATGCATGATGGAATGCCCAAAGCTCTTAACAATCGAAGCTGAGCATTAAACTTGGGTCCTCTGATGCTGCACATGTGAAGGGTCTGGAGCCTCGGAAATGGAAGCCACGGACGGATTCCAGAAGAACTTGAGCTCTCCGGACCTGCGGAAGCAAACGATTTGCAGCGTGGTTGAATCCACGCCGGCGTGCTACTTCTTCAGAGCTGTGCCACAAGATCACCCAATTCATACATTCTGGAATCCAGAGAGGAAATTGCACCTCAACCAAGGATTCGAAAGCCGCCAGCCCGAACTCTGAACAACACCGAGCCGAACCGTTACAATTGAAATCCTCGCTAAACTCGTTGTCATCCCCGTACCTGCTCCGAGGCTCGCTTCCCCTCACGCCCCGCTGAATTCTTGGCTTTCGCTTAACGCACCCCGGTCGTCTCTTGTCAGCAGATCCGGTTTTGGGTGGCTTCAAGGTTGCTCTCACAGGGTGCGCTGAGTGGAGGAGCTGTGTGCCTGATCGCTTGTAGTCGCCCTGCACGCCGTGCCATAAAACCCTGGGCACTGGCGGCGCTCAGTGTAGCAGATGTGTCAGGGGTTAAGCTTAACTTTAAGGCTTATTTGAAAGGCTAAGTTACTTGCTTGAATTGAACTAAGACATGTTTGGAAAGCCTTGCCCTTCTGTGTGCTGCCGCGTGAGGTCAGAACCGATATCTTGCCCCGAGCCACGGATCAAGCTAGGCGTGGGCTATAGTGGGCTGTTAGTCTGTGGAAGGCTCAGCACTTTTTGCTTGTCGTGTTGCCTTGCCTGCATTGGATTGAGCCTTTCATGATTTGCGAAGTTGGTTACGTTGCACCGGCTTCAAGAGCGTAGGTACAGAAGCTTCATATGGCACAGCTCAGAGCACATTTGCGACGTTTTGTAGAGTGCCAGTATGAATGACCCATGGGCATGGCTCGTGGTCGCAGGAAGCGTTGGATGTCTGTGCAAAAAATACTGGCGGCGCTGCTCAACTGCTTGTGCCAAGGAGAGCTTCAATGCTGTCTATGCGGACATGCACGATGGTGACAAAAAGGCAGCTCATGAGCGTGAACTGATTCTTACTAGGGAGTTAGGGACTTCTAGTGCCCTGTAGAATCAATTTCTTAGGGATTTCAAAGGTCCCTGATTCCAAGGTTGCAAGCAGAGCACTCAGCGACGCTCAAAGCATGCTAAGCTGGCACAGGCTGTGGACATCAATGCGGGCAAGATGACCATCAAACCCAGCGGCAACACTCAGACCTGGGTCCGGGACGTTAGCTTCGGAACCATCCAAGTATATATTGCTACTTCTGTCTAGTGCATGCCTGGTGCATGGAGCGGCCCTCTTGTCATCGGGGCCCTGGGTGTACATGCAAAAGTTGTGAAGCGAGTTCTGCAGCGGCTGGGTCATGCACAATGAAGGTTGGTGTGGTTTTGTGTTTCCCGCAGTAGTAGTGAGTTCGAGGTGGTCCTTGAATTATTTTATTAGTATTATTACGTTCTTCATTCGTTAAAAATAATAAATCAAAAGAACGTAACATAATATAGTAAATGAAGTGGATAAAACATGCTAATGTTGGCCCGTAGATTTACTATTATTAAATAGCTAATTTATGGGCCTTTCATGTGTTTGTCCAATCATTACAACATTTTAGGTGGCCATTGGATTCTCTTTTCTTGTGGGTTTCATTCATACCGAGCGGAAGTCCTGCCAGCGCATCACGCGTCGAGGCTGCAAGGCGGCACGCATCTCCGGCGTCAGGTCGGCCTGAATGGCAGCAGTCGAGCGTCAAAGACAAAGGCAAGAAATACAGGCAGCACCGAAGCGAACGCAAGAGGTGAGCATCACGCAGGACTTGAAGAAATTCGGCTGAGGAAAAGGCACTTGGAACTGAAGAATTACTAACCGGCTTAGAGACCAGTCCAACCGCAACACCCATCACACCTTGAGACCCTATTAACGCCTGGTGAAGAAAACCACAATCTTAATATAGGATTCTCTGGGTATTACGACCTTAGAAATTAGACCAGAAAGCTCACCCCTTTGGAACCAGGAAATAAGGCTAGGTTTTCTAGGGTGTGACAGATGACCCCGGGTGCTGACGAGGATGTGAAGAGAACTAACTCATTATCAAAATTATAAGGAATGAAGCGACACATGAATACAGTAATAGTGTGTGAACGAAGTCCAGAAATGATTGGAGAACGAAATGAATCAATTGGCCCGTGTTTTTTTCTTAATTTACCCTACGGTAATCAGGAAAGAACGACGTGGGGACATAATATAATTAATTATCTTCACGAGTCTTATTATATTCATTGGCCCATATCTACTCTATAAAACGCTACGGTCAAACAAGCCCTATGCGGTGCGTCACGCCTCGGAGCGCCCCAGCCCCAAAATTTTCTGGAAATTTCTGGACCCCGGCGAGCAAGCCGCTTTGGCCTACCCGGGTCTGGATCTCCTGCAGCCCTTCCATGATCTCCAGGTTCGACAGGCTGCGGTGCCCGCTGCCGTCCTCGTTGGGCACGGTGTACATGAAGCTGTTCTGCTGCAGGTTGACCATGGTCCGGAAGAGGTAGTTCCAGAGCGTGAAGCCGAAGGTCCAGTCCCGTCGGAACTGGGTCTCGGCGCGGCGCTGCATGGCGCTGGCCCACGCGTGCACCTCCACGGGGGGGGCCTTGGGGTTCCGGGCTCTCCGGTTCTTCTCGCGGTCTTGGCGCGCCGCCGCGCCGTTCCGCTCGTCGCTCCTCTTTTGCGCGTCGGGGCAGGCGGTGGCGTGCTTGAAGCAGAAGCAGAAGGCCGTGGCGAAGTAGAGGGGCCGGAACTGGTCGATGAGCTGGTTGCCCGTGCACACCTCCAGGGTTTCCATCTTCTTTTCGGCGCCTTGGGGGCGGAGCTGGGTTTCCAGGTCGTTCAGGGCCGCCACCGCCACCGCGTTCGGGTCCTCGTGGTCCTCGCTGCAGCCCTCCGCCGCGATGGCCCTGGGGCGCTGTTGGGCGAAGACCTCGCCCGCGTGCCCTGCGTCTTCGATTCGTCCGTCCGTGGGCGTGGCCGCCTTCTGCGGCTGGAGCTTGTCGTCGTCGTTCTCTCCCTCGACGCCCAGGGTGTGGATCACCTTCAGCACTTCCGTTGGCACGGCGTCTTCGGGAAGCTGGGCCGCCGTCGCTCGGACGGCGGCCTCCTCGATCTGCTGATAGGCCGGGTGGCCCAGCTTCTTCATGTCCAGGATGAGCTGCACGACCACTTCGCGCCGCACGTTGGCTTGGTGGATCAGGGTCTTGATTTCCGCGTCCGTGGTCTGCCCGGTCTTGTTGGTCTTCAGGAGCACGCGCACCACCTCGCCCAGGTGTTTGCCCGCGCGCGGCAGCGCGCTGGGCCGCTCCGCTTCCGCGGCGTCCGCGCGCTCTTCGTGTTCCTGCAGCGTCTTCAGCATGTCTTCCCAGGGCAGTGGGAAGCTCAGGGCGTTGCCCCTGGCGCCGAGGCGGTGCCGCGTCGCGTGTGCCTTGGCGTCCAGCGGCGCGGCTTCGCTGCGGTGCTTGGCCTCCATGGAGAAGCACAGGAGCGTGGTCACGCAGGGCGACGCGCAGATCATCTCCATGACGGTGACCTTGTCTCGGTAGAGGCGCTCTGGTGCGTAGCCGGTCCACATGTCGTTGCAGAGGCTCAGGGGCGGGAGCTGGTTCTTCGCGAGGTGCTCGGCGCAGTCTCCTCGCAGTGCCGGCACAGCGTTCCCTCTTTCGGGTGTTCTGGGTCTGCGGGGCAGTGGTGGTCCTCCGGGCAGCAGAGCACGTCTCCCTCTCCTGGCACGTGCACCTTCCAGTCGTCGAAGTTCGTGAAGTCGCTCAGCTTGATGTTGCCGGTCAGGTCATCGTAGAGGTTCAGGTATTTCCGGAGGCTCAGGAGCTCGTGCAGTCGTCGGCCTTCTTTCGGCCCTGTCCCTCTTTGCCTTCTTCGTGTTCCAGAGGTCGGTGCCAGCGGATGCTGTTGGCTTCTTCGGTTTCGGTCACGCTGGGATGGATGCAGGCGCACGAGAAGCAGATCAGCGACTCCACTCCGCTGCCTGCTGTGGCTTTGCTCAGGCTTGCCAGGGCGGTTCGATCTCGGGAGCGTCCGGCGATCGGTGCTTGTGCGCGGCACTTGATGGCCACGGCCTCGTTGTAGATGCTGGGCAAGGCGTCTCGTGGCCGCGGCTGTGGCATGTGCTGCATGCAGGCTGTCAGGTGGCGTTTGTGGCTCTGCTCCACGTGTCGGTGCAGATCCTGCTCGGTTCCGTCTGCTCGCGCCCATGTGCAGCCGCGGAACGCGCAGAAGGCCCGCGGCCAGGCCTCGCCAGCGTCCACGTTGGCGGGGCGGCGCCAGCGGGTCCTCTCGCAGGTGCTCCTTTGCGAGGTGCGCGAGCGCTTCTTCCAGCGCGCGTCTCGGATGCGTGTTCTTGCCCTCCGGCGCGATTTCTCCTTTTGCCAATTCTTCCAGCAGGTCTGCTTGGGGCTTCTCTGCCGTCGTGTGGGGCTGTCTGTTGCCCAGTGCCTGGGCCAGTTGGGCCTTGCCTTTGGCCGCAGGCCCTGCGCTGCTGCCTGTGCTGTTTGAATCATGCCCTACGCTTCGTGCCTTCGGCCATGGGCAGCGAAAGCTAACACCTGAAAAGAGATCCCTGAACGCATTCCGCTGCAATAGCCCATGCCTCTAACGTCGACCTCACAAAGCTAATCGGAAGGGACCTGCTGGCACGCGCGAGGTGGGAAGTGTAAGTTCCGTACGCCTTCACGCGGATCCATTCGGCTCCATGCGGCTCCATGCGGCTCCATGCGGCTTCAGTGGGTTTGGGGGTAAGATCAAAAGCCCGTCCTCAATGCATCCCCGAGTTGTGCTGCGTTTGTTCGTGACATGCGTTCTAATGCCCCGAGCTGTGCTCCGCTTAACCGCGACATACGTTCTAATTCACGCAGCAAGAATACGGGCATCCAAGATAAGAAGGCTGCGTCCGTTTCCTAAATTTCCTGAAAATTTTGGGTGTGTAAATTGTCGGGAAATTTTGGAAAGCGATGAAGCAAATTTTCCGGAAATTTAGGGACCGAGGCTTCAGGCTACCCGGAACCAGAAATTTTCCAGAATTTAGGGGAACGAATCCGGCTTGCGGCCGTTGAAGAGGCCTAGCCTTTCAAAGGGCACAGCCCAGGCCCCAAAATTTCCCGGAAATTTAGGGTTTCAAGGCTTCAGGGCCTGTGTTTAGGGTTTCAGGGCCTTAGGGCCTGTGTTTAGGGTTTCAGGGCCCGGCGTTTAGGGTTTCAAGGCCGCAAAGCCTGTGTTTAGGGTTTCAGGGCCTCAGGGCCTGTGTTTAGGGTTTCAGGGCCCAGCGTTTAGGGTTTCAAGGCCTTAGGGCCTGTGTTTAGGGTTTCAGGGCCTCAGGGCCTGTGTTTAGGGTTTCAGGGGTTTAGGGTTTCAGGGCCTCAGGGCCTGTGTTTAGGGTTTCAAGGCTTGTTTTGGGTTTCAGTGCCTCAGGGCCTGTGTTTAGGGTTTCAGGGCCCAGCGTTTAGGGTTTCAAGGTATCAGGGCCTGTGTTTAGGGTTTCAGGGCCTCAGGGCCTGTGTTTAGGGTTCCAGGGCCCAGCGTTTAGGGTTTCAAGGCCTCAAAGCCTGTGTTTAGGGTTTAAAGGCCTCAGGGCCTGTGTTTAGGGTTTCACGGCCCAGCGTTTAGGGTTTCAAGGCCTCAGGGCCTGTGTTTGGGGTTTCAGGGTCTCAGGGCCTGTGTTTAGGGTTTTTAGGGTTTCAAGGCCTCAGGGCCTGTGTTTAGGGTTTCAGGGCCTCAGGGCCTGTGTTGAGGGTTTCAAGGCCTCAGGGCCTGTGTTTAGGGTTTCAGGGCCTCAGGGCCTGTGTTTAGGGTTTCAGGGCTCAGCGTTTAGGGTTTCAAGGCCTCAGGGCCTGTGTTTAGGGTTTCAGGGCCCAGCGTTTAGGGTTGCAAGGCCTCAGGGCCTGTGTTTAGGGTTTCAGGGCCCAGCGTTTAGGGTTTCAAGGCCTTAGGGCCTGTGTTTAGGGTTTCAGGGCCTCAGGGCCTGTGTTTAGGGTTTCAGGGGTTTAGGGTACGGGGGGGGGCAACCAAAGGGGGAAAGGAATCAACCCCGAAGACCGCCCAGAACTTATATTCCCCAGATCGACCAGCACAACAAGCACAGAACACGGACCAGGAGAACCAGGGAAGGGAGTAAAGGGGGCCTATGCCTAAGCACCTAGGAACCAACCCCAACCCCAACCACGCGGGCTCTACCTTTTTTGAGCTTGTGGCCTTAGTACTTCTGGCCATCTTGAGCCAAACAAGGTTTCCGGGTACGTTGACCCTTTCAACTCCCAACACTAACTCCTTTCTACAATACCAGCTGCAGCTCCGCACTCCCCCTGTCCTAGGATTTCCTAGGACACATTGGAGGTGCAGATCTTTGGCCAAAAACTGCCATTAGGGCAGCAGCCAGCTGCTTGAAATGCACAATATGGTTTTACGTCATCCAGGACGAAATTATAGCACATTGGCTAAACCCACTAACCACAGAGAATCTTTTTTCCACCATGATCCTCTTATCATTGAAGACTCTTCGGCCTTCTTCACCACAAACCGTGGTCTTCGCTACGCGAAAAACTACTGACTTCTACTATCAGGGATTTCCATACCCTTAATAGTAACCACCACATTTTCAGCGCATTGGCCGATCCAGCGCACCTGTCTCCAGAAAGAGAAAAACCATCCCTTCATCCATACCATCCAGTCACTTCTTTTTCCGATGGTTTGCAATACTGAGGTGAAGTTGCAGCAGAATATACTCTAGGTCCGAAACTGTAAGAACAGGATC